CTGAGGGCGTGCAACACTTTGTAGCACAAGGCCCCGAGGCAATCGGTGCGCGTCTAGAGGCGCTTTCGAGTTACGAAAACGCGCTGCATGAGCACCTGCAGCAGAAGATGTCTGGATCGTTTGCGTCTATGACGCCAGCGTCGGTGACGGAAGACTTCCTCCGACCTAAGCCGCTCAAGGTGAGCGTTAAGGTCTTTGTGAGGAAGGATGGAGAGAATCTCCTGCCCTGGGTGAGAGAGGTCGAGAAGGTCATCGCGTCCACCATGCTCCAAACCGAGCAACAGCGCGTGGCGCTAGCCATCTCCAAGTTCGGTGGTCGAGTGCGAGAATGGGCACTGACGTGCGGCACTTCGGTCGGAGCTGCGTTTCTCTCCTGGGCGGATCTGATTTGCAGCTCTTCCGAGTGTCCTCGCCGCCTACTCATGCGTATCGCGTGCGATCGCGTTTCCTTGTCGCCAGACAGGGCAACAAGTAATTTATGGACCTTGTTAAAGAGATGCGAACTCTCATTGTCGGGATAGCAGCAGATGGGCTCTATTTTGGTTCTCGATTCGTATCAATAACGCACCGAGTCGTGAATATCATGTACAAAATAATTTAGATAATATCTTGATACCTCAATTAACCTATCAAGTTCAAAAGCATCAAAAAAATTAAATTAGCATTTATAACTGTACTTTAATGGATATACCGGACCCAGGTCAATCTCATGACGCACACCTCGGTCCGAAGGTACGACCAAAGGCGGGTCTTTGGAGACGACGTCTTAATTTTTTTCACCAAAGAATAGTACGGATCCAAGGGATTCCGTAGGATCGACGATCCACTTCGTGCGCTCAGCACTCTCGTGGTGTCGTCCAAGACAGCTTCATCCAGAAGCGGTGACGAGTTTATCTCCTCGTCCAGTCGTATAATGACCACTTTGGCCAAATCGCCTGCCTTCAAAGCACTGCCGAACTCTTCAAGGGACATCTCGTCCAGCTCAAAAAGAGCATCTACTGCAGGCATAGCCTCGAGATGGACGTCGCCATCTTCCTCCTTCGACATACCTATAACTGTGCACCGTCGTCTACGGTAGACACACCCTGAATCAGGGTCGACGCTCGGCGTCTTGCAGCCAGCATACAGTGTCGCCGTCGCCTCTGTACGGAGGTTCTATGTCTCGGTGAGACCAGGGTGAACACGCGTTCCCCGTCGTCCGGTGTCACCCGCACTTTCCGCTCCTTTGGAGCTCCGATGTTATCTACAACATCCGAAGGAGAGACGCTAACCCCGCAGTCTTCGTCCAGTGGATAACGGGCCACCCCACGCGCATCTGAAGAGCCGTGCATTAGATGCCTCGGACTCTATCCGACCACGCCATCAATGGCATGCAGCGACTGTTTCGCAACGAGAGCAGTGCTCAGTGGTTTGCCACTTCACGCGCATCACGGGGGCATCGTCCTTAGTGCCTCGGCCCTTGGCTGACCATGTCACGCATGACATGCAGCGACTGCTCCAAAACTGATAAGCGCTCAGTGGTTTACGTGCCACTCCACGATCATCCCGCGAGCCACGCTCGAGACTCCTGTCCGATATACCGTTGGTGTCTACCAACTCGGACATTCCAATGTCCAGCACGTTGACCGTCTCGATTCAGTGCTCTCGCCAATAGCGCTTTTGTCTCCTGGCAGAGATGGGTTCATGACTCGCCAAAGCTCCACCGGGAGACGTGCGCGTAGCACCCAAGGTCTTTGACCTCCAATCAATTCATGGCTCATGGTGTTCCAACCATGCCATCCCTAGGATGAGGTCATACCTTGCTTCCAAGTCTAAGACTAGCCAGCGTTCCACGTTATCAAAGTCAAGGAATTTGACGTCAAGGTCCACAGGGACCTTCGGGACCGTGACACGTGTCCCCATCGCTATGCGAACAGTGATGATGTCACTCAACCGCGCTTTCAGCGCCTCAGCATACAACTGACTTCCTTTCATCGTAGAATGTCGAGCATAATTGCCCGATGCCCCAGAATCGATGAGGATCTTCCATGGTTTCTTGAAACCCTTTACGGCCGCCTCCACGACCAGCAAGCCT